ATTCTGTGCATCTGGGTAGAGCTCACTTGGCAGTACTTCTGCTCTTTCTGCAGCCAGGCTGGTTGTTTTCTTCCTTCTTACAAATGCTACTACTGATCCTTTCCATCCCTCTTTATTTAAGAGAATTTCTGTTTCCATCTCTCCAGGGAAACCTGGGATTGATTCAGACAGCTGCCACTCTGCTGAGTATGATTCCCAGGACCTCCTAGATCTATTCTCTTTTTGCCTCTGACACCACCCACACCTTTGTTCAGTACATGCAACTTTTGCACTTGTCATAGGCCTAATCTTTACAAAGTTTTGTCAGTTCACATGCAAAGCTCCAGTAGAACCCTTCTTTCTGCTGAGAAAGATGGATTTCCCCTGCGGAGTGGATTTAGGCTTCTGCCACCAATCAGGAGAAGGAACATGTAGGCACTCCTGTGCCTACATTGGCTGCAGCAGTCCCTCCATCTTTTGGTGTCTTCTCAAGTGCATTGTGTGGATGGGCTTGTGCAGACTCTGGGTATGAACACACAGTCATTTCTAGCAGTGGACATTTCTGAAAATACCTGCCACTAGAAATCTTTTTGGAAGAGGGAGTAAGACAGGTGTTCAGTCTGCGGCCGCCCTCTCTTCCCTGATCTCTTCACCTTCCCTGGACCAGGATGATCCCAGTTTGTGGAGGACCTGGGGAGCAGTGCCTGCTCCATTTCTCCTAGTCCTCAGGGGCAATGGTGTGGCAGGGAAAGACTACCCATGCCTTCATCAGACCAGGGACCCCCAGGATGTTGCTCCTCTCCTCCGCTTTTGGTCTTGGTTTCTGACACTACTCATCTGGGGAAGAGATAGGGAGCTTTAGTAGCTGCTCCACTCCCCTCACAGACTGGCTTAAGACAGGATTGGAGCAGCATACCTCAGACCAGGAGGGGAGTAGAGCAGCGTATAGGCATTAATTATTGAGAGAGAAGCTCCCTTGCAGGGGGGATATTCTAGGTTGAAGATCTCCTGCAGGTGGCATGTTTCCTGCAGGAGAAATTGCATGAATGCTTGTATGCTCCTCACTTCTACCGTAAGAACAGCAATTATCTCATTAGAAATATAATGCCTCTACATGGCCTCTGATATCAGTCCCATCGTGCCTGCAGATCAAAGGGCTCCCAGCTGCCATCTTACTTGTAATCTTTTCCTTTTCTGCAACTGGGGTTGAGGGGCATCTGAGGGACAATATATACAAAATGTGAAAGCTTTTGTTTTGTAGTGTAACCAACAGATTGGGTATCTGCTGTTTCTGTTCCTCATTCTGCCACATGCAAGGCATAGTGTCTGTAAAAGCAAGAGGCCACCTACCTGAGTACTTGCCAAAGAGTATTGCACATGTGTTTTTTTTCTACACTCCTGCTTTCCTTACTGAGTGAGAAAAAAACCAAATGTATTTTCAAGATGTTAAAATGAATTCAGTTAAAACTTGGCTATTTAAAAAGAGGATATAACACTTCCAGCCCCAAAGTGAATTAGTTTCTTCTGGTTTTGATAGTTGTATGCTATCTCTGCCAGTGCATGTGACAAAAAACAAAGGTGTTGTCCCCAACGGACAGTGTGAGTTCGTGCCCGGTGCGCTATTGCCAATGAACACACAGGGGTGGAGGATCCAACTTAATCTTTATTGTTTCCAGGCTGCGCAGAGAGGGGTGCTTGGCAATCGTTTGCAAAGCAAGCACCACCGGTTTCTACCTTTGGGTACCTTTTATACATATGTTTGCAAGTGTATCGCTCAGTGATTGGTTACAAGCCACTGACATAAGACGTTCTCTACTGAGCATGTCTCTATACCTATGTTTTAGCCATGTAATTCATTTACATACATATATGTTTCATTAACATACTTTTGCCCTGCCCAGGGGTGTGATTTTTAGCATTATAATGAGACCTTTTTCTGAACTTCTTGCTATCTTACAAGTGTCAGGGAGACATTATCCTGCTGGTGTTAGGGAGGCATTCCAGGAATCCTCCGCATCCCACACGCTGTGCTCTGCAAGCATCTCTTAACACACACATACCACACCCCTCCCAGCATCTGCAAGTTGCCTTAAGTATTTAGTTAGATATAGTTTGCAAAAGCTAGATATACCATAAAAAAGATTACATAAAAAGATTACATCAAGGGTCAGTTACCTGATCCTGTTGACATTTTAAGACCCTTCCTCATTCAGGACTTAAGTCTTTTTGTAGGTGTAAAACAGTCATTTTTTTCACTTTGGGTTCATTATTTTGAAGCTAGTGACAGTGCACTTCAAGGCTAGGGGCAGAAATTACACATAAACCAGTATAAGTAATCAGAAACCGGTTCAGATATGTAACACAACACAAGTTCAGTGCACATGCATTGCTTTCAAAATGGCCAAAGCTATTTTAAGATAACCCAGGATGGATATAGTGTCAAATTTAGCTGATTTAGGTTAAATCGGTTTATTGAAGTTCTGTCCCAGATCCCCTCCAGATTCAAGTTAACTCACAGTTCCACAGCATCCCAGGATGCTTTGCACCTCCCCTCGCAAGTTCCCCCCTTGCAACAGAGAGGCACCCCTTGACTTATGGCTGAATGTGACACATTTCTGGAATCAAAAGTGAATGTCTATTCCTTTGCTTATTGGTTCAATTTATGCAGATTAGACTAACCTGTGAAGATGGAATTGATTCAGCCTTGAGCTTTTTGAATGTCTGTACTTAGCCCAGAAGACCACAAAGGATGTTAGTGACATGTCAAATGTTCACGTATGCATTGCATTCATGCAAAACTGAAGATGCAGAACAAATCCATAGATTGCATTGTATTGTGGGTAAGGCCCTTGTCTGTGCCTAGGCTCAGTTCTCTTTGAGCCACAGGCTTTTTCTGTGACCTCAGATTTAGGGACAAGACTAACTTTCTCTGATCTCCTCTTCATCTTTGTAATATGGAAATAAAATTTTATTTTTCTCATCTTTTGTCTTGTCTTCAGGGCAAGGAGTGTATTTTACTGGATATTTGTAATATATAGGGTATATTTTAGACATGATTTTTTCTAGTTGTACTATGATGTTGTTGAAAATTCCTTATGGAATGTATGAGCATATGGATTAAACTATACCAATTTCAGGCTCTTTCCATAGAGAAATTTGCATCATGCAAGTGCCTAATGGGGATATGCTGCACTGATATAAAATGCAGTTTATTACAGTGTGTTTTATTGGTATCTGGTAGGATTAATTAGTGTGCGAGTGAGCCCCACATTATATGGATCAGTGTATCTCTATTTAAGGTTTGTTCTGGTATAACTTAATGTGCTTATGCAGATGTGAATTTTCAAAGTGTACACAAGCCTTCAAGAAATGATGGCTTAGCATGTGGATGAGTCACTTGAAGTCAAGTGGCAATAACATGAGCTCTTAATTATCACAAGTCTAAAAATCTGTTGTGGAACACCCTGCACGTAGTTTATTTAAATGAAAATATTTGCTCTCTGTGCAATGTAGCAAGAGAGACTTCTCCCACGGTGAGGTAACCTTACATTACAAATCCAAGAAATGTGACAGAATTGTCACCTAACTTAAAAATAGTTTAAGAAATGGAAAGACTGAGATCAAAAGCAGAATATATGGATTCATTTCTCAAGCTCACGTATGCATGGTGCAGAACAGGTTCAGAGAGTCAACAAGCAGAAGCTATCTTGAGGATTTTGTAATGCATTTTACTTATCTTCTTTCTAAAGTTCCTTAGTAACACAATGGGAAACTTTTTATGTGCCTAGTAGTTGTTCAATAATGTGGTGTTTTGTATAATTGATTTGATTTTTATTTTGCCTTTGCTTCATAGATTTCAAAGACATTAGGGCTGGAAGGGATCTTGTGAGATCATCTTTCCATTATGAATAGTTTCAAATAGATGCTATATTGGTTGACTGTGTTGCTTCAAGAAAATTTGCTTTGGCATGCTTCTTGAGCAGATATTAAGAACAACTTTGTTAGTTGTTGCTTGGAATGTGCCAGTGTGTGCTTGAATCCTAGTCCCAACGTGCCTCAGGACTCCTTTTTTTTAACATGTAAATGAAAAACAGTTGCACCTACCACTGTGGTTTAAATGTAGGTCTCATCTGAAGTTCCATATTGTCTTAGGAGAGAACAGGATGAGTTGACAGAAGTCTGATAGTGGACAAATATAGAAAGATTTTGGACTTGCTTGGATGGGGAAGCTCATAATTGGGAAAGCAGTAGAGTTGTCAGATAAAGTTTTCAGCCATGCAAGTTTTCCAGCTATAGCTTGGTGTGATTGGGTTAATACATACTCAGAAATATAATCTTTTATTATATTGTGCATGCCAGTGAATTTGTGATTTAATCTATTCAAGTATCATAGATTTGTATTTTGCTTAGAAAAAAAAGTGTCATGTTACAAAAACATACTTATTGAAGTTCTTCATGTTACATAGAGTGAACACTGCATGTGTTGTGAAAGGGAAAATGAATCCATATTGAAGTCATAATTGCTATGTGAATTCATCCAAAAGAAGAAGATGATCCAGCTGCAGGGTATAGAATATAATGTTAAGCGTTCTGTTAAGTGCTGGATAGATCCACATTACTTGACTACAAAAGAAAAGTACTTGATTTTTTTTTTATTCTGGCCAAATTAAGTAGTTATAGTCCTTGAAAGCTTAGTATTATTTCTACCTTTAAGTACTGATTCACTGTAAGCTGCCTCTCTGTTGAATCCTTGCAAGAAAGAAAAATAATTTCTGTCTTACCCTTTTTGTTAAAGTATGTGATGAGGATTTTTTACTGCATTATTCTAAAGCCTATAAACATTTTCTGCTTAATTTTGTGTATTAAAATTCTGTTATACTCACTGGTATAAACCTTGGGATTAAATTTAATATATATAATATTATTTTGCATTTAATGCTTTTCATCCCTAGACATCAAAGCCCATTTCAAATGTTATGAAAGCACAATGCAAAACTCATTCTGATATTTTTGTTTTTTAGGGTGTACCTCAATTACCATGTGCCAAAGCATTATATAACTATGAAGGAAAAGAACCTGGAGATCTTAAATTCAGTAAAGGTGACATCATCATTTTGCGTCGGCAAGTGGATGAAAATTGGTATCATGGAGAAGTCAATGGTGTCCATGGCTTTTTTCCTACCAACTTTGTTCAGATTATTAAACCTTTACCTCAACCTCCGCCTCAGTGCAAAGCACTTTATGATTTTGAAGTGAAAGACAAGGAAGCAGACAAAGACTGTTTACCATTTTCAAAGGTAAAAACATTTAGAAATGATTTTTTTAAGAAAAAAATTGTATGAATTATTGTTTAGTGACTTAGAATGTAAGACTTTTCTAAAAGTCCTATCTATATATTCTTCTGTAATTCTGATATGCCCACAACAGGCCAAAACATGGGAGTTCATGTAGCATTTCTTCAATATTCACTCAGTTCTGTCCATCTCAACTAGACCTGTTTCCCATCCAGAGATTTCACCGTTGCATTTGAGAGTGTAGTTTTCTTAATTATTGTAATAAGCACGCTGAATTTGAGAGAGAGATTGAAATGTAAATAAAAATCATATTCTCTCTGAAGGAAACCTTTTTTTATTTACTTTTAATTGCCAAGTTTTCATTTTTTGCAGATTATTTTTAGTACTGACTTTGAGCCCTGTCACACACATGAGTAAAATTGCTTTTTGCAAAATAGTAAGTTCTTTTTTTTCACTTCTATTTCATTCCTTTTCTGTCTCACAAGGCATGAAATTATATGAAGCTTTAATAGAAATATTAGGATTATGAAGAGCATTCTTAATGACACTTTTAACCATAGCTTGGAGCTGTTTTCTTTTGTTCTCTTCACATTTATAAGATATGTTAACTTTGCAAGATTACACAAATCTACAAGATCTAACGTGAAATAATCAGATTTCTTTATTGCCCTCAGCTATTAAATGTAGAAAGGGTGACTGAAATTATAAAAGCAGGAGACCCTAAGTATTCAACTCTCCCTGAGCAAATCAGTGCAGCTACATGTGAACAGATAATGGCTTTTACTGAACAAAATATTAACGCTCACAAGGGTGATCTGTATTCGCTTACATATGCAGCTTTGATTTTTAAGTTGTGTATGCAGTCTAGAATTTTCTTAATCTTTTGTTTTACATTAATGCACATAAATGTTTCCTAACATTTTTACTCATGCAATGAAATATAAATGAATGATGTTTCTGGGGCAATCAATAAATATAAAGAGCAAGTAATATGTTCCTAATATAAAGTTCTTGCAACCAGGCTTAAAACTCAGTGGGTATGTTAATGGAACTGATGTCAATTATGCTTTCAAATTTTTCTAGTGTTCTTGCCTAAATAGAAAAGTAACTGCTAGGAATAGAGTAAAACAAGTCATCAGACAGATAAAAAGAGTTTGCAATTCAGTTCTGTCTAACTGGGGACACAAAAGGGGACTGAAGGAATGCAATAGACTTGGCACAGCAGGCAGTCTGTTACTCAGAAGCCCAAATGCCACTTCTTGGGCTGTTTGCAGGACTCCCCAATAGTTTTTTTTCTAATCATGGTGAACTATTTAATTCCAAAAGCTACAGGTTCACATTGTGAAGTGCCTGCTATAGAATTCTTTTCCATCTACTCCCTTGTGTTGTAGAGAGAAATTAAATGAGGAACTTAATTAGAGTTAAGAGACATAATCATTTCATGTTTGTACAGGATGATGTTCTGACTGTGATTCGCCGAGTTGATGAAAACTGGGCTGAAGGAATGCTGGCTGACAAGATAGGAATATTCCCTATTTCATATGTTGAGGTGAGTAAAGCATAGCTATAATGCTTTAGGAGTAATTATTTCAGTTTATTTAGTGTCTTTCTAAAATCCTAAATGGTGAAAATAATGTTAAAATGTGCACAAAAACATTAAGGTATACCTAAAACATAAACAGTTTTCGTTTACATTGTTATGACACACAGGTGCATGAATTGAGTAATCTCATGGCTTTAAAAATCAGTGTTCTTTCCTTACCCTTTCTCTCCATACTGTCTTATTACCTAAGTTCATTATACTGCATGTAGTGTTAGATTATATGTTCTTTAAGATGGGAACATCATTTTTATGTTTATACTAGGAAGTACCTGGTCCATCTCCTTAAACACTTCCAGCTAAACAATAAGCTCTCACTTCCTAATGCTTCACTACAATAAAGTAAATGAGAACAACCTGAGGGAGGGTAAATTAGGCATTTCAGACTAAGGAAGACAAGGTTAAGGTACACCTGAGCCTACTAGCCCATAGGGCTAGCATGGTTAGGACATAAGATCATAGGAAATTAGGGTTGGGAAGGACTTCAGGAAGTTATCTAGTCCAGCCCCCTGCTTAAGGCAGGATCAGTGCAACTAAACCATCTCTGCCAAGTATCTTTCTGACACACTCTTGAAAATTTCCAGAGATAGATTCCACAACTTTTCTAGGTAGCCTGTTCCAGTGCTTCACCACCCTGAGTCAAAAATGTCCTCCTCCTCTCCATCCTAAACATCGTCTTCTATAGTTTGAGGCCGTTGCTCCTAGTCCTGTTCCCTGCTGCCACAAATAAAAGTCTGTCCCCTTGCTCTCTGTAATCACCCTTCAGGTATATGAAAACTGTTATCAAATCCACCCTCAGTCTTCTCTTCCCCAGATGAAATAACCCTTGTTTTTTCCCAGTCTTTCCTCATAAATCATGTCTCTCAGGCCTCTTATAATTTTTGTTGCTCTGTTCTGGCCTCTTTCCAATCTGTCCACATCCTTCTTGAAGTGCGGGGCCCAAAATGGAAGAGAGTACTTCAGGTGAGGCCTCACTATTGCTAAATAGAGCAGAAGAATCACTTCCCTTGATATGAAGGGAAGAATCACTTCCCTTAATACAGCCTGGGATGCTGTTGGTCTTTTTTGCAACAAGAGCACACTGTTAGCTCATATTCAGCTTGTACTCCATTGTATGCCAGTCATTCCTCAGTCTGTATTTGTCCATAGTTTTTCTGCCCCAAATGCAGGATTTTTTACTTGTCGTTAAATTTCATCTGCATGATTGTGGACCATTTTCCCAGTCTGTCCAGGTCATTCTGGATCCTAACCTTATCCTCCAGAGCTCCTGCAGCTGTACCCAACTTGGTGTCCTTTGATAATTTGTTAAGTGTCTAGTTAAGTCTGGTTATCTTAAATGACTAGGTATCCATTTACAGCTAGGTTAGTGAAGGGGGCAGCCCTTTGGCACAAGTAAGGAGTGAGGCTCAAATCCATAGCTCAGGATATGTAGCAAAAAACCTGAAATTTTTTGCTACCACAGCTATACTATAGCTGAAGCAGGGGAATGATTTTCAGAGATGCAGAACTTTAGAACAGCTTGCTGCCTCCTCTTTAGACCAAGCTGCAGATACTTAAATGCCTCTGATATGATGTGCCTCTGATATGATGTGATTATACAAAGAAGGACATTGTGTTTCAGGTTGATAGATTCCAAACAGTTCAGGGTCCTCGTATGTCAAAGCCATCACCTTCTGTTCCACCCAGAAAGTAACAGGCAGCTAATACAAACTATAGTCATCCACCCTGGCAATCTTCAAAAAACGTCTTGACGCCTATCTTGCTGGGGTCATTTGATCCCAGCAGTCTTTCCTGCTCACATACAGTGGGGCTGGACCCAATGATCTGTAAGGTCCCTTCCAGCCCCTAACTATGAAATTCTGGAACTATGGAAAATTAACATCACAATAATAGTTGCTCACATTACAAAAGTGCCTGGAGTCTCAGCTGATGTTAGGATCCTATTGTGCTGTAATCAGCACAGATGCATAGTAAAATGTACTCGTTACCCTGAAAAGTTTGCATCAAAATAGAAAACAAAAGTTTGGAGAAGGAAAAGGTTTTTTTCCCCCATATTACAGATGTAGAAATGAGAACGAGGCAGATTAAGTGATGTGCCCAAGGCCATGGGGATGTCTGAGTCCCTAGCAATACTGTTTCCTATCCTTCCAGCTCCATGCATGAAACATTGCTTACTTTTATTTTATCTGTAAATGATTTTTTCACTTTACATGCATCCATGAACTCAGCTCCTCAGAACCCTCTTTCCCCCTAAGTTAGGATAGTGTTACTTCCATTTTATGAACACACTGATTGTGCAAGCTAAGTAATTTGCATTATGTTACTCAGAAAAGATGGAAGCACCATGACTAGAAACATGATCTCTGAAATCTGAGTCCAGTGCCTAAACCACAGGAAAGTTAACAAGACTCTCCGTTTTGTGGTAGTTGAAGTTCTGAATGGTTTTAACTTGTCCCTAAGTTTTACTATGATTTTGAGATAAAGTAACATCCAAAAAAGTTCTCACCCTCTTACAAATAAGAAATGGAAAATCACCTTTGCCAGAGCTGTCACCTATACATGACTGTGAATTTCTAACTCACCATTTCTGAGTGTTTGTATATTCCCTGTCATTTGTTTTTTATTTGTTCTCAGTCCTGGCTTCAAATAAAGGATAGGGCTGTTTTTAACTTGATACTGTTTTAAGCCTGCCTGCATTTATTTTGGAAGATGCATCCTTCACCCTCATCCTAGTGAGGTCTTTTCTCTAATTTCATTAACCTTCTAACATCACGTGCTGCTCAACAGGTAAAAGTCATTGTGATGGCTTTTATCTTTTAAAATTTTGTTCCACCTATCCCTTAACCAACCTCCAAAGGTAATTAAAATTTCCCTCTCTAGTAGAGTTTCTATATTGATATATTTTAACCCTTTTATTAATTATACCCTGGTATTTCTCAGCTTTTAAAAAAATCTTGTCTTTTTTCCTAATATTTGTTTTATTATAACTACATGGTACCATGAGGGAGTTTTAGATAAGTTTCATGCTATTACTGTTAAAGGGAAAGGGAATTTGAAAGGGAATGTTTCCTTATAGACAGTTACAGAAGGGATTCTCAGTTCAAGTATAAGATGTCATTGTTACTAAAAGAAAGGTTAGGTAAGTACTGGTGCTGCATATACAAGACACAAGAGTTCCTGGTTTTGTCACTGATAAAAGTGAAATTATTTCGTGCGTGAGGGTGTTTATATAGTATTAGATTTGTCCAAGGGCCATAGCAGAAGTGCTTTTGGCATGGCCCTGACAGATTCCAACAAATCTGTAAATTATGCTAAATACTTTGTCACAAGGTACTGAAAGGAAAGGAAAATTTGTCCTGAAAAAATTATTAAATCAGACGTTCTTGTTGAACAGTTAACATGTGCCTCATGGTTGGCAATTACAGTTTACTTTATTCTGACTTTTTTTGTTGTTGATTCCAAGTTCATTCAAACCTTATACCAGATACCCCAAATTATTATTCAAAAAGGTTTACTCTTAGAAGCAGTGTTGTGCAATGAATAAAATAATTAGTCATTAAATAAATTTTATTGTTAAATTTCTGAGACAGAAGGCAAGTTGAAGATACTATAATGTCCTGACTTTATTGAAGTTTTCTCAAAAAATCTTCAATTTGTCTCTTTTAGTTTAGCCACCAATATTCTGCCGGATTCCAGTCCCATGGTAGTGAGGTGAACTAAGTACAGATAGTCAAAAAGTTCAATTCCATCTTCACAAGTTAGTCTAAGCTGCATAAATTGAACCGATAAGCAAGTGAACAGACATTCACTTTTGATTCTGGAAATGCAGCCACATTCAGCCATAGGCCAGAAGCCAGAGGGTATTAGAGCACGCCTTTCTGCTTGACTGGAGCAGATAGCTTGGGTCAAGGCTAGTCCACTCACCCTGCGAGGGGGGAACTTGCAGGGGGAGGGGAGGAGGGCAAAGCATCCTGGGATGCTGTGGGACTATGAGTTAACTTGAATCTGGAGGGGATCTGGGACAGAAGTTCAATAAACGATTTAACCTAAATCAGTTAAGTCTGACACTACATCCATCCAGGTTTATCTTAAACCAGTTCTGGCCATTTTGAAAGCAATGTATGTGTGCTGAACTTTTGTTGTGTTACAGATCTGAACTGATTTCTGGTTACTTATACTGGTTTTATGTGTAATTTCTGTCCCTAGCCATGGGAACCAAAGGGGCTTGGTATATGAGAGCAGGTATGGCCTGTGGTATGTCTGGCCTGTGGTATGGCCTGTGGTTTGGCCTGTGGTATTTACCGCACTGACCTGGAATAGATGCTGTAATAAGTAACATGACATGTGGTGAGCCTTTGGATCTTGAGACTGTACCTTCCATTTCATCATCTATGTCCTTAATGAAGATATTAAACAGTATTGGATTGAGAACATAGCTTGTCCCCACAGCTTGACACCTCCTCCCAGTTATACTTCAAACTATTGATGACAAGCATGATGTTCCAATCAGTTACGCACCCATCTTAGAGTAGTTTCATCTTAATTGTCTTTCCATAGCTTATGAGGTGGTCATGGGAGGCAAGTCTCAAAGTCTTTCTGAATTCAGGGTATATCATATAAACTGCTCTTCTATCATTCATGGAACACCTGATTTTGGATGGTCTAGTATGGTTTGCACTTGACAGATCTTTTTAGCTGTTCCTTATTATCTTATTTCCTAGATACTTAAAAATAGATTATTTGAGTATATGTTCCAGTATTTTTCCATGTATTGAGGTTAAATTTACCAGTCTGTAATTTCCTGGGTCCTCCTCATTCCATTTTTAAAGCTGGGCACTGTGTTTTCCCTTTCTGCCATCCTTTGGCACTTCATCTGATAGCTTTGATTTCTCAAACCTAATAGCCAGTGCTAGTCCCTTTACCTCAGCCAATTCCTTGAGTACTCAGGA